CGCGACCGCGACCCCGCCACCCTCTCCCCGGCGGTGGTCTGCGCTCGAGGTTATTTTCTACTCCTGTTTCGAAATGTCTTGGTTCCTGCCCCGCTTCCTTTCTCCGATCAGCCCGGATGGTGCTGACAGGGCTGCTCCGTCCGTCCGGCATCTCTCCAGCTTCTGCACACCCGCCGAGCACTCCTTGGCCGCGGACCCCAGCCCCCCTGGCCTCGCTGTCCCCAGGCCTGGCTCCCCACCCGGTCCCACCGCTGTACCCCGCCTTTCCACGCGCCTCTCTGTCCCCCAGCCGGGTAGGCAGCCTCGTCTTCGGTGCAGAATCCCGCTTGGCTCTGGCCTCCCTGCCCGAGGGCCCCCGCCTCGCCTCCATCCTCTCCATCGCTAGTGGACAAGGTGAAAGGAGAATTGGAATAGGTTAGCTCGGGGAGGGGGTGGGCGTCAGGGGTCTTTGGAATGAACGTAGGGACCAGGAAATAGGGGCTGAAATAGGAACTTGGGCGACCTCCCTCATGCTCCAGGACCCTCACCATCTTGTTCAGGGGACCTGTCTCGATTTCTATCCACGCAAGTTCCTCCGTGTGAATTATTTGGAAGTCCAAAGGCAAAACGGTCCATCTATGCCCTGCCTAACTGGTTTGGCTCAGTGGATAGAGCGTCGGCCTGCGGACTGAAAGGTCCTACGTTCGATTCCGGTCAAGGGCATGTACCTGGGTTGCAGGCACATCCCCAGTGGGGGGTGTGCAGGAGGCAGCTGATCGATGTTTCTGACTCTTTATCTCTCTCCCTTCCTCTCTGTAAAAAAAAATCAATAAAATATATTTAAAAAACAAAACAACAAAACAAAAAGAAACAACGGTCCATCTATCACATTTTTACCCGTCCAGGGCCTGTGTGATCACCACACAGTTCACAACTGAAAGGATGCTCTTTTGAAATGCAGAAGGATAGGGAGAGAGAACTGGTCTCACCAAGTAGCAAGTAGAAATGAACTTTCCAGGTCTGAAATGAAAATAGACACCTTAGGATAGCGGGAGTGGTGGTGCCACGGTGCCTGGGCTGGAATCTGACTTTCCCAGTTACAAATGAAGTGACCTTGAGTAAGTCACTTCTCTCTGTCACAGTTTCCTCCTCTGTCAACGGGGGGTACCTGCCTAATAAGATTGCTGAGTTACATGAGCTACTATGCATGAGGCACTTGCTGCCTCGCCCAGCGCACAGCACATGTGTTGTCCTTTATTATGAGACTAAGATCTGGTTTTGCTCATCTAAACTCCGTGGGCTGGCAGAAGTGTTCCTGTCTGCATGTGTCCCAGCATGGTGACTTTTCCTGTCTTTCACTTCTATCCCCAGTAGCTCCCATCTCCTAAAGCTGCTTGGGTTAAACACACACATATCTTTGAGTCACCTAGCTTTCCCCCACAACTCGATGTTCTGTCCTCTTGCTTTTAAACAGGTAACAGTTTTTGTTGTTTTTCCTTCTTATGAACGCCATGCCTTGTAGTAAATTCAAAACTGACGGCATGTATTTAACTTGATAGCAATAGAAATGTGAAGCACCATTTCTGAAAGATTAAGCAAAGAAACACCCAGAAAGTCTCATAAACATCTGTCCCTTGCATGTGTCAACATTTATAAAATAAGGATTTTTTTTTTTTTACTTCCCCTTGACATCCTTGTGTGGTTATGTCAAACACACCCAAGCATTTAAAATAGAAAGGTCTTGGCTGCCAGAGTGGCTCAGTAGGTTGAGCATTGTCTTGTGCACCGAAGGGTTCAATTCCTGGTCAGGCCACATATTTAGATTGTGGTTGGATCCCTGGTTGGGGCATGTGTGAAGGGCAACTGATCATGTGTGAAAGGCAACTAATTGATTTTGATGTTCTCTCTCCCTCTCTCTAAGCAGGTGAGGATTAAAATAATAAAATAAAATAATAAAATTAAATGAAATAGAAAGGTCTTAAGTATAGTTCAAGGCCCTGGCCAGGTAGCTCAGTTGGTTAGAGTGTCCTCCTGATTCACCAAGGTTCGATCTCCCATCAGGGCATATACAAGAAGCAACTAATTCATTCTCTCTCTCTCTCTCTCTCTCTCTCCCTCCCTCCCGCACGTCTCCTTTCCTCTCTCTCTCTCAAAAAAAAAAAAAAAGAATTGTTCAAGATATATTGTTGGATAATGGGTTTGTTTTTGAACCCCGCTATATCCCCAATTGATTCCTGCGTTCACTTTTTCCTCCCAGGACACTGACAGAAATACTTAGGGTTACTTTCTCCCTCTTGCCCTTAAAAAGGGTGAGTGTTGATTTCTTTTTATTTCATGTAGGAACTTGTTAATGTATCCTAGAGCAGTATTTTCCCCTTAGGGTATGATTTGTTGCTAATAAAATAGCTAATAAAAGAATAGTAATGATAGCTTATATTGCTTGTTTTGTGCCAGAATGTGGAAAAAGATTTACTTGTATTATCTGACTTCCTATCAGCAATCATTTTCTCTGAGAGATGAATTTATTGCCCAAGTTACTTGTGGAGTTTTTACTGACCATATGAAATTGCCACCTTGTTATGATGAAATTTACAATAGTATATTATAATTTTTATCGGCCAAAAATCAAGTATTAGTACTTCAGGGCAGGTATGGTGTTTGCTCTCAAGGTGGTTTTAGTTTGGTAAGATGAGAATACCTACCTACAGGAACAAAAACCAAAAAAATTCAAAACATATAAGTGGATGTCTTGTATTACAGCTCTTGATGTACTTACCCCGCTTCCCCATCCCCCAAGAAACCTGTTTGAGGGACAGACTCTATCTTGTGTACCTCCTAGAGCCCTTAATGTTGTGTCGTAGAGGTTCTGAAAATATTTGCTGGATTGTGAGACAAAGTCTCAACACAGTTTTGGAGGAGCATCAAGTGATTAGGAGGAATTAGGGTTGAGATATACAGGAACGTTCTTTGGGTGAAAGCAGTGGTTCTCAATCAGGAGTGATTTTGCCTCCCCCAGGGACTTTTTAGTTGTCACAACTCTGGGTTGGGAGGAGGAGGAGGGCTGTTGCTCACATCTAGTGGGGTAGAGGCCAGAGATGCTGGCAAACATCTTGTGATGCACAGGACCGCCCCAAAGCACAGTTATCTGGCCCCAAATATCGGTAGTGCCACTACTGAGAAACCTTGAATTAGAGTTAAGCTGGGTTTGCAAAGCAGTATGGAAATTATGCATTTGGCTTGGCTCAGAGTTGCATAGACTTGGGGTAACTCAATAAACTGCTTCAAATTAGGAATTTGATTGGATCCTTCTACCACCTTCCTTTGGAAAATGATCCAATGAGTAAGCAATAGAGACCTAAGAAAGAATGAAATTGAAGGAGGTTTCTGTCATCCTTTCTTAGAAGGAAAACAGCAATAAGAAATGAGATTGGGCCCTGGCTTATTTGGCTCAGAGGTTAGAATGTAGGCCCATGGACCAAAGGGTCTTGGGTTGCATTCTTGGTCAAGGGCACATACCTGGGGTGCAGGTTCGATCCTCGGCCCTGGTCTAGGTGCACGTGGGAGGCAACCGATGGATGTGTCTCTCTGAAATTGATCTCTCTCTCTCTCTCTCTCGTCCCCTCTCCCCACCCTCCCTTCCACTCTCTCTAAAAAAATCAATGGAAAAAATATCCTTGGATGAGGATTAACAACAATAAAAAAGAGGTTGGACATTGCAGTTTTTATTGAATTAAGGGTGTTGATTTTCCATGTACATTCCTTCAAAAGCAGGATTTGTAATCAGGATAATAACTTGTTTTTAAAAAATATTCTCTGCAGAGAATACCTTTTGAAGGTCTTTGTGTTTGTTAGCTGAGGTTTTTGTGATAAAGAAGGAAAAGTGTTTATGTTCTTCTGATCTAACACTATGATCTCTCCAGTGGTCATAGTGTTCTTATTGTTGATGAACTGTAATTGTCTTTTAAGAGTCTTTTATTTGGGGCACCTGGGTCCTTCAGTCCCAAGAGGAGAAAGATATCACTCTTTATGAGTGAAGCTCTCTGAGGCATACATACTGTATCACTTAGAGCAGGCTTTTTTTTTTTTTTTTTTAACCATTAGAGAGCTTTGGGAAAAATAAAGAGCAAAGTCTGTTATGACCCTAGAATCAACAGTAGACTTGGTTTGGTGTATATGACCTGAGAGCTATCAATGCATTTAGACATTAAGGACTAGAAACAGGTCAGGTAAACTTGTTCATGGTTCAGTGCAGTAAGTCTTTCTGCATTGATGAAAGTGTTGCATTTGTGTGGCTATTTAAATTTAAATTTTAAATTTTAAAATTGGTAGGTACCATATTGGATGGAACAAAAGAATAGAAATCTATGCCAAAGAGTCCTCTGTTACAGTTTTATGTCAAAATGCCCTACTAATTTGTTCGCCTGTGGGTTTTTTTTTTCTTGCAGCGGTTGAGTTTTTATGGTATTGAGATAGCCAATTGGTCCTGTCATAATTCAATCCATAATATACAACCTAAGATATATAATCCAACCAGTCAGGAGCATGTCCCA